AGACAGTACCTGTTAATATTATCTATAATTAATGTTTTGTTTATTGTTATATTAGTAACATTATTTACTGATACTATAAATTATTATGTGTTTTACTATTGTTGTGCTATCTGTATTATGTTAAATATAATGCACATATGTATTTTATAAGAGTAACTATAAATTGCAATAGCAAAAGAATTGAAGAAATAAGTTCAGTGAACAAATGATAAATTTATTTTAAAGTAACGTGCCGCATATAGAAAAAATAAATTTTACAGTTTATATTAAACACATGTTGTATGGTCTAACTTATTTTTTCACTTTGTTATGAACTCATAGCAATCAATTCAAATCATTTTAATGCTATGCATTAGTCATTGATTGTAAATACTTTAAGTAAGAAATATGTATATGATATAATTTATAAATTGTATTGTAACATAAAGTAGTAATTATTCTGTATATAAGATGTATACAATTAGTGTTTATATTCACTTAAATGCACGTGTATATATATTTCTATATATACACATATACACGTTGAAAAATATTTAATTGTTAAATATAAGTGTAAAGTAAATATTACTTGTTGATACAATAATCTTATGTTTACATATGCAATAAAGAATGTTTAAAGTAAATATTCTAAGTAAGCCAAATAAAAATTGCTAACAATTTATACATTGATAAGAAAAAAAGATAATCTGCTTTACATACACTGTTGAAATGAAAACTACTAAGCTACAGTCATTATTAAATTACTACTATATATATGTATGTATATAGATACATATGCATAAATTGAAACATCTAATACTATTCTTATGCAATACATGAAATAAACATATAAAAATGTAATATAATATCAAATAAACAAACATATATCAATGATAATTTCTGTTTAATACAATAGAAACATAATAAACATGTTAATTATAATTGTAATTATACCATTTTATTATAGAAACTTTTATTTTTGAGTCATTTAATTAGTACTTCAAATTATACTTTATATTTGTAAATAATTTATTGAATTTTGCAGTTTTATTATTTATAGTGTTTTGAGTTTAAGATTTTATAATTATCATCGAATAACAAAATTGTTTTATTTAGAATCAAACAAAATGTCTACTTTACTATTAGTTATCCTGATTGGGGGTGTTATAAATTCATTACAATTACACTTTAATTCATTTACAAAATTAAATGAACCTATACGATTATTACAATTTGGGCAATGAAGCCTACCCTTTGTCCAGGATTCCTGTAAAAAATACATATTGTCTTATATAGGTCTTAGATACGAGTTTTCGAATTTATATTTTTTATTTTCATTGATGTAATATTTATTTACCATACAATATTAAATATTTCTTATGATATTCATAATTACATATGACAATGTTTAATTGTTAATTATATAATGTTACAAGAAACATTACTTGAGTTATAGCATGTTCAATCCATTCAGGTAATTTTTCCATTGACATATATGAACAACATTTAGGATCGTTTACTCCGCATCCTACATCCATATTATTTTTCTTAACTTCACCATGAGATGTTAATAATTGAATAAATAGTTTATTGAACAGGTCCTTTCTGCAATGTTTACATTTCACTTCCATTGCCTATGAAAAATTATTGTAAATGATATATTGTAAACACATTTATTAGAAAAAAGCAGTATAAATTAAAGTTTAGAGGTTATCAACGCGTAAAAGGAAAGAAAATATAAATTATGAAGAAATGTTATATGTATACTAAAGAAGTACAAATATATATTAAAAATTAACATGAAAATAATATCTACATAAATGTATAAAATGTAATGCAGAATTCACATTTATTAACTTAACCACGTTTAGCTACTGTTATAATTAAACACGAATTTATTATTGAGTAAAATAGTTTGATTAAAAGAATTATATAGAAAAAAAGTTTTACTTTTTGTATATATTTATAATTAGTATGAAAAAATGTATATTTTCATATAATATCACAAAAAACTGATTATATAGTTCTATTCAATCATGTGTTTCAGAAATACATAATACTATACAAGGTATTCTCTCAGATGTTCTATATAAATTATTGTAGTTACCTGTATACATACCTTTAATAACATAAAATTATTTAATCTTCACCTGCTGGGATAGCATCTTCTAATCTTTTAATAAACTTAACGCGTAATTCAGTTACATTATCATTTTTAAGTTGATCTTGCACAAACCAACAAGCAATTTCCATCTGTACCATTTCACAAGCTCCCCTTAATACTCCAATTAAAATGTTACAATATTTTAGATTTAAACAATGATCTGGTAATTCAACAAATTCTGTCAATGGATTTGTTTCAAAACATAAAGAAAATTCATCACCAGCAGCACTCCAATTTGTTATCGTTGGTGTTATTCCCAAAAATATCTTAAAACCAGTTTGTATTTTCTCGGCTGTATCTCGAAAATCGTAACATCGACCGGATCCAGTACGTGCTAAAAAGTCTTCTATTAAACGAATTCCCATATTGTAGCCCATTCTTTCCAACTGTTTATTTACATCTTCTACATTTTCATAATCTTTTAATAATTGGGCTACCAATGCTCCGTATGTCAAAGTAAATAATTCAGAATTCTGCAATTTATTATTATATATAAACTTTCATTCTATGTAACAAATTATTACAATTTAATGAAATTATAAAGTAAAACATAAACACTATTTTTAACCTCACTTACAATTTGACATACATTTTTTACTAAGCATATGATAATATAATATAATTTAACGATACATGGTACAAATATTTTGTAAAAATTAACAATATGAAACAATATTGTACTTACTACTTT